ATTCTTACTATGCATCAAACAGAACAGCTGCCAGAATGGCTGAATTTAGAGGGAAAGACATTTTATCTTGAGAAACTTTTAAGCATAGAGAACTAGCAAACTCATCTGAATCGATTCACAAGTTAAACCAGTGTGCTATTTTACATAATACCTAAAGAAACAGATTCTTTTACCTTAAAGTTCCAGGACAGCATCTTTCTTCTTTCTGCTCTCACTCTATTCTGGTGGTCTGACTTGTAACTAAGCTTCTGATGCTCCTTTTTCTCTTATTTCACATATGATTTAAAAAATAAGTCATAACAATGCAGTGAGGGTTCCCATGGAGGTGGCAACTTCAGGCCTTTGCCCTTAACCATCAATCCACATTGCCTGTAGGTATCACTAAGCAAGTGTTATTATCCCACTGGATAAAAATGTTAAAATGTGAGGGCTTACTACCTCTCCTGAGCCTCTGCTCAAGAAAAAGCATTTTGTGATTACTTGATTAGCTTCCTCCTCTCTGTGGAGAAAGCATAAAAGTAAGATGCATGGATAGAAATCATCTCTGCACTTCCCAGGAGGCTGGTGCAGGCAGTGAAGCTGAAGCCCAGGCGGCAAAGACAGGAAAGAACGGATGACAGTGAAACCTTTTTGGGTAGATGCTAGAGTCTCCTGGGAGTTTTGAATGCTAGAAGGGGCAGGAGACTTTAGTAAGAGTTCCTTGTATATAAATTTAGACTCTCATATCTAAGAGCCATGAAAATGAACACCAGCATCCCTTTTAGGCAACGCTTTTTCAAATGAGATGCCGGCTCAGACCCTGAGCCCCAAGATTAATTAATTAATTAAAAATATAAGTACTGTACTCCCTAATTCTACTAATTAACCCTATCTAGCTGAAGTATCTGGTTTATTCATTAATTCTTAAAACTTACAAAGACCCAAATTAATAATGTGAGGACTATGTAAGTCCTTTGTTTGAATTCAATTATCTTCATCTGGACAGTGAACTACATGAACATGAGGTCAGCAGCCTCATTTGGGGCATAATGGCTGGAATAAGCAAAAAGGACACCTGACCGAGACCAAGACACTGACTCCTTGTGGTTTTCAGTAAACTTGCTAGACATTTACACTTGACATAGGAAGAATTTTCCAGTCCTCTGGGATGTAAAAAAGGAAACCTTTTCAGAAATAGAGAGACGATATTCCCACGACGACTTGGGTATAGCCCTTCGGAAAACAAAAATAGACTGGATTCCTTTTTTCTTTGCACGCTCTTGATTTTATGGAAGTTGCTGAGCAGGTACAAACTTAACCCTTGTAAAAGCCACCAGATTAGAGAGACTATTCTGCATCTGTCCAGGAGACCTCGGATCTAGACTAAGCTCAGCAATAAACTCACTATACAGCTTTGGGTAAGTTAGTTACTTCACTGGTTTGGACCTCAATCTCTCCCAGACCCTTTCAAAGACAACATCAGATTCTTACAATATTTACCACTTAAATATACCCATCCTTCCCATTCCTTGACCTTTCGGGACAGACATCACTAGAAGGTTACAGAAGTTTTCCTCTAACCCAGAGGCTTTTGGAATCAGGAGTTGATCTGAAAAAAGTTGGGGGAAAAAAACCCACAGTGGGCCTGCCTCCCCAGTTCTACTCTGAGCTCCGTGGACATAAAGTCCTTCTCTCGCAAGTCCTTCACAGATACCAGTATAGTATTCTCATATTTCAACCTGCTCACAGCTAAATAATAAATGTTTGGTGAATTATTCAGTCAACTCAACTTTACCAGACGTTTTTAAGCAAAAGATTTTCCTTGGTTTTTCTATTTTGCTGGTCTTTCCTAACCCGTTTGTGGGACACTAATATTGCTTAAACACCTGCTATAAATATTTATACCCCGTGACATCTCTTTTGGTCCCTGCTTTCTACTAGCTTTAAAAAACAAAAATACTTACAGTAAGGTTTCAGGTATGATATCATAGCATCGACTGAGTGATAGGTGTTGGAGGTAGCTGAGCTGGTAAAATTCTGGAAAGCAGTCATGCTTTAGCATGATGCTATCACTGTAACAGACAGAGGAAAAGATTCAAAACCTATCCAGCAATTCCAGGTGTAGAAAAAAAACATAGTCTACTATTTAGTTTCTGCAATTCAACATATTAAGATCCTTTCCTCATTCAACAAGCCATCGTGATTTTTCACTTTTTTTTTTTTCTAAATGAAAAAATACCTTAAGTCTAGATGGACAAGATTGGGGCATCTTCCAACTAGGGTAGAGACATCTAGAAAAAAAAGAAAGTCAATATTAAACAAGAAACAAGACAAGGAAATCTGCTATCAATACTTCCATTTACCATTGTGTTGTAAGTTCAGAGCAATGCAGTTAGAGTTGCATGGTATTAAAAAGAAAAACAAAATTATCATTTTAACACATAAGATTTTCTACCCTGAAAATCCTAGAGAATCACCTGAAAACTAATGGAAATAGAGAACTGTGTAAAATAACTGGTTAACAACAATTCATAGCTTATCTATGTATCAGCCATAACTGGATGGGAAAAAGTTTTGAAATCCTATTCACAACAGCAAAAAAAGCAAAACCAAAAACTACTATATATAGTCATGCATCTGCATAACAATGTTTCAATGACAGACCACATCTATGATGGCAATACTGTAAAATTATAATGGAGCTGAAAAGTTTCTGTCATCTAGTGACATTGTAGCTGTCGCAGTCCAGCACAAAGCATTACTCATGTGTTTGTGGTGATACCTGTGTAAGCACACCTACCAGTCATATCAAAGTATAGCACAATTATGTATATAGTATGTAATACTTGACAATGATAATAAACAACTAAGTTACGGGCTTATGTATTTACTATACTTTTTATCATGATTTTAGAGTGTACTCTTCCTACTTATAAAAAAAGTGCTATAAAACAATATGCTGTGTGATGCTGGCAGCAGCCTCATCCACCCTGTGTTTACCATGTCTCTTGATTACACCATTTTCTCTTGTGTTTGATTCTGGCTTCTCATGTTGTTTTGTACAGTAACGTACTCTACAGGCTTATAGCCTAGGAGCAGCAGGCTATCCCTTGAGTAGTAGCCTGTACCATCTAGGTTTGCGTAAGTACGTTTCATGATGTTCGCACAATGACAGAATCGCCTAATGACCCATTTCTCCGATGTATCCCAGTTGTTACCACGGCCAGAAAAAAATTATTTCTGCAACTTAAATAATATGTTCAAATAAATTCCGCACATATTAAAAAGTTCTAAATGTAAAAATATGGGTAATTACTCATTGGATCTTGAGACAAGTAAGGAGTTTCAAAATGTAAAAGATAAAGGGAACTGATAATTTACTCCATAAAAATTTAAAACTACCATGTTAAAACTAGTCACAGACAGGACTAAAGAAACTTTAGAAAACTGGGAATACGTGTTTGCAGCATGCATTAAACAGTGGTCTTATTATATAAAGAATAAAAAGATAAATAATAGAAAATGGACAAAGAACAGGAACAGATCCTTTGCAAAATATAGAGATAATCTGCAGCCATCAAATTAAAAGATTCTATTATAATACCTAGAATTGGTGAAATAGAATAAAGCTGGTCTCCCCATATACTTCAAGTGGATATTTAATTTAATGCAGCCTTTCAGGAAAGCTAACTGATTTTCTTTTTAGGGTAAACTGATTTTTAAGAAAAAAAGTATTCAGAGCATTACACACTTTGTTTTTTGGCTCAGTGATTCCATTTTTAGAAAAACAGAGATGCGCATGAAGATATTTTTTGTAGCAACAGCTATAGTAGCCCCTCTCCTAATTAGCTTAATACTAATTCAGAATACAATACTAAGAGTAGCTTATTAAAAAGCTTTTAGATAACATTTCATGACCTGAAAAAATACTCAGGATATACTGTATAGTGAAAACAAAATATATACAATGCATTATAATCTCCATTTAGTTAAAATACGTGCACAAACTCATATTTACACACAAACTTATACACGGCAAGAAGGGGTGGGGGAAAGGCTGGAAGGAAATACACCCAAACATTAACTGCAGTACCCAAAGGTGGTGGGATTATAGATAACTTTTCAGAATTCCGAAGTCACATGTACTACTTTGTAATGAGAAAATGAATCAATTAATGTTATTTTCTTAAAACAGACAAACTTCATTAATGTTTGAGAGTTTTTTCTCACAGCTACCTTTTCAGCCCCATTCCCCCTTGCCACTGATTCCTACACTTGCATTTTCGATGGTCTCAGCACCCCCACTGGGATATGTGACTGGCACCTCGACTTTATGCCTAAAACCAAATGCTTAATTTCTCCTCTAAACCTGCTCCTTTCCTAACGTCTTTTCCATCTCAGTAAGTAGTAACTTCGCTGATCCAGCTGCTTCGGCCAAAACCCTGGGAATCATGCTTGACCGTTTTTCTCACATCCCACATCCAATCTGTTACTAAATCTTGTTTTATCAGCTTTCAAAATGTGCCCCAAATCTGATCATTTCTTACCACCCGAAATGTCACCGCCCTAGTCTCCTGTAGCTTTTCCCTTCACAGCACCAGAATGAGACTTAAAATGGGAGTCAGATTATATCATTCCCTGTTCAAGATACTTTTAATGTTTCCCACCTCACTCAGAAAAATATTCGAGCAAAGCTTTTGCCTTGGTTTACAAAGCCCCTGGCTACCTCATCCCCTAACACTGTCCTTGCTCCCTGTTACGCACTGGCTCCCCTATCAAAGCCTTTGCACGTGCTGGTCCTTGGTTCTAGAATGTTCTTCCCTCACGTATCTTTCACTCCTTCAGGTCTCTGCTCCAGCGTCACTTCTCAGACTGGCCCTCTCCTTGATTCCGTCTGCAAACAGCCCCCTTCCTGTTACACTCGACCTGATTTTTCTGCTTTATTTTCTCCTCCTTGTATTTCCACCTGCTTTCACAACATGTAGTTCTTTGTTGATTGTCTGGCTTCCCAACTAGAATGTAAGCTCACAGGGTGACTTTGTTTAGTTCAAGGCCACATACCCAACTCTGGAACAGGGCTTCGTGCATTGTATGTACTCAGTAAACATTTGTTTAATGAATGACTAAAGAATGAAGAAAGTACACAATACAATTTTGAGTGACTCAACCAGCCAACAAACTAGCCATCGATAAAATCCAAAATCAGATGCAATCTTCTGTTGGTACCACCTGGGAAAGAATGAAACCTTGGAGGCTAAAGTGGTTAGTCTCCATCTCCGGCCCTCATTTAAGCCCTGTGCTCCCTTGGAGGGGAGGGGGAGTAGTTAGCCGTCACTGCCAAGATTCCCTCTTCCCTGTCCACTTCACCACGAACTGGAGATCTAATTGAGCTAGAAGGATCTTAGAAACCACCTAATCTAACCTTTCACCTGGAGAAGCCAAAGCCAAATCAGAGTTTATCTATTGTCCCCCAGGGAGATCGTGATGGGTGGGTAGGGGTGTCAGTAATAGCCAACGATCACTGAATTCTCATTCTGTGCCAAGAACGGTTTAGCATGCTGCATGTGTATATAATCATTTATTCCTTTTTATAATTCTAAGAGGGAGTTCTGTTTATTTTCATTTTATTACTGAGTAAATGGAGGAAGAGGAAGTTTATCAACTTGTTTAAGGATATCCAATAAATGGCAGAGTGGGTACTTGAACTCAGGCAGTCTGGAACCAGTCTAGGAGGCGAAATGAAATCCATATTATCTGTATAATGAGATAGTGTGCCCCTGGTAAGACATGAATTAAAAAAATCTGATTCCCACTTATACTTCAACTTATACTCCGCATCTCTGTCCAGCAGGACTTTATTACCTATTATTCCTGCCAAAACTCAGTAAACAGGCTTAGCTATTGTTTCTTGGGGGAACAAAGAGAAGAGTTTTAAGCCAAACTTGGGCAAAATTAACAGCGGTTTGCCTACAGCAGTTTTTCAAACTTGCACCTGCAACCTCGGTTCATTTCAGAACTCTCAGTGAAGAAATAGGGAATTCAGATAAGGGCAGGAAATGTAAATAGGGCACAGCCTTCTCGTCTCTTGGGGATGAACAGGGAAGAACCAGGAGCAGGATTTAGTGTCAAGAAGATGCTCGCTGGTCGGAGTTTAAAATCCTCAGAAGGTAAGCACTATCCAAAGCTTGAGAATGAAACTTAATCTCAACCCAGCAATTCCACTTTTGAGTGGGATTTGAAATGCACTCAAAGATCTGTCTCTGTCCATGACAAAATTGTCAGTCAAAGGGGAAAAAAAATGGAGATTCTAAATGTCCAATACAAGATCAGCTAAATAAATTATTATTGAATCAATAGAAATGATTCCACATCTACTGGATGGAATTTCACATAGCCACTGAAAATGATGTGGTGTCATCAATGAAAATGGGGTTATCTGGTAAAAAAAAAAAAAAAAAAAGCGTATGACAAAGCATTCTATATATTGTGTCCCATTCTAAAAGACATTTTTGTAAAGTAAAAAGACTGGCAAGATGCTGGTGAGATGACTGATGATTTATTTTTGTGTTTATCCACATTTTACATTTTTTGGAGAATGACTATATAATACTGTGATCAGATTTAAAACTGTGCCTTAACGGGAAAATACGTAGAACCAAAATATTTTTCAGGGAGAGGAGGAGTAAGAAAGACAAGTGCTGCTTTTACAAATCTCTAAAGTTAGCATTCCCCTTGTCCGTAAATGCGGGCATTTGGACGTGAACACCAGCAAAGGACTCAAACCCCCTGACGGCTCATGAGCCCTACCTCTCATTTTCTATATCCTGATGTATCCTAGTTACAAGAGGACGTGTCGTGCCCTGGAGAAGTAGCTTTCAAATACTACTTAATTTCTAAGAAGGTAACATCCTGCAAATGTGTGATTCAACTCTTTTAAAGTATGATACACTATAATAAACAAAACATTTATACTCAGATGAGCTAACACTGACACCAGGACAGGGTTAAGGTACGTTGTGAGCTTAACTAGGTTCTGTGCAGCATGGTCTGAGATCATAAGGTGAAGCTGTTAAAAATCTTGCCGTTCGATAACACTAATCTTTGCAAATCAAGATTTTCTCCGTATGAGATGAACAATGCCTAACTGAAGGTGGAGGATCCTGAAGACTGTAACCATTATGTCTTATCCCTGACTTCAAATGCCCACGTCCATCCAAACAACCTCATTATCCTTAGACTGAATCCAAAAGTAAAAGTTGTGTGAACTTACAAACAGGCTTTATAACAGGGATTTTCAACCTTGGCGCTGTTGACATTTTGGACTGTATTATTTTTTGTGTGTTATTCTGCTGTTCTGTGCATTCTTGATTTCTACCCACTAGACGCCAGAAGCACCCTCGCAGCCGTGACAATCAAAAGTATCTCCAGACCTCATCCAATGTTCCCTTGAAGGCAAAATTGCCCCTGGTTGAGAACCACTGCTTAATACTATCAAACACTGCACTTACCCATTTTCATGTTGGAGGTTTACCTAAAAATTTAGTTGATTAAAAGAACTTCTGCTTAAAAAGTAATCGTTTGGAAGTATAAAGATTTCCATTTCTAGATCCTGGATTCGAATCTTGACACTACCCAACTAGCTGTTTGCCTTTATTTAACCCTTCTAATCAGCTGCTAACACAGGCCCTGGATTAAATGAGACAATTTAGGGAGCACAGCACTTAGGAGATGTTCAGTAAATCAAACCTACTATTTCTGTCAAGGCCTCAGGGGCCCGGAGCTCTTACCTGATCTCTGGAGATTCTTCCGGTAGCCACTAAGATTCAGCTGGGTGATAGTCTCCGACACATGCGCGACAGCCACCTGCACATGCTTTTCAGTGAAGTCAAAGCACCAGGAGAGGTTCAGCTCATCCAGTCTACACACCAGAGAGGCAATAAGTGAAAGCATAAAACCATCACACAGGAATGAGTTCTCTAGGCAGCGCTGCCTCAAGCGGCAAAGCAAACACAAAGCCATAGATTCCTTTCCATTTTATGCACAGAACCTCTGTTGCTCTAAGCAGCTACCTTTGCTCACCTGAAACTGCCTTCTCCCCTCTAGACACCTTCCTCCGCCCTAAGTTTGCCTCAGTCAGCAAGGGGATCTGAGCCAAGGCCTGGGTAAATGCTGCCCCCTTGTGGAAATAAAGGGGAGCACACACTCCTCCCTTCCTCGGGGCTCAAACCTCATTCCAGAACAGGAAGTAGAAATTCCATCCTCTGTTTTTCTGAACCACCCAGGTTGTTAGCAAACACCTACACAGACTGAACAATGAGATGCTTAAAAGACTGATTCCCCATAAAGAGACACTTATGTTGCAAAAAGCTACTTCATCTTATTTGGCCTCTGCTAAATGAGCAAATGAGGGATTCAAAGAAAATGTCTAACCATCAAACCACACACC